GGATATACCCTTGGGCCTCAAAACAGATAAATGCAAAAAAATATATTCTTTAATAGCTGAATGAAGTCTTATGCAATGTTTTGGTTTATAATTGATTGTTAATTAAGACTTCTACTTTTCCTGCAGAACTCATTTAAATTTTCATTTTTGTTTCCTAAAACATCAAACCACTCAATGATTAAAAATAAGGGATGGAGCTGGGGGGGTCCCAGCACTCGGGAGGCAGAGGCAGGTGGATCTCTGTGAGCTCGAGGCCAGCCTGGTCTACAAGAAAGAGTTCCAGGACAGGCTCCAAAGCTACAGAGAAAATCTGTCTAGAAAAACCGAAAAAATAAATTATTATTATTATTATTATTAATAATAATAATAATAGATGGGCAGTGGTGGTACATGCCTTTAATCCCAGCACTAGGGAGGGAGATGCAGGCAGATCTCTGTGAGTGAGGCCAGTGTGGTCTACAAGAGTTAGTTCCGGGACAGCAAAGCTATCACACAGAGAAACCCTGTCTCAAAAAAAAAAAAAAAAAGACTGAGTCTGAGTGGCTAAGAGTGCATACTGCTCTTATACAGGACCTGAGTTCAGTTCCCAGCATGCACATCGACATTCACAACTCCAGGTCCAGGGAATCCAACTCACATACCCCCCAAGGCAAGCACATGTGTAGAATAAAAATAAAAATAAATTATCCCGGCCAGCAGGATACGAATAGGGGTCCCTGATAAACCTAGAGGAGAAAAAGGAATGGAGGGGACAAGAGACTCAAGAAATGACAGCAAAACAGGCTTTCTGATCCAGGTGCCACTTTATTATTGGGGAGGGTGTCAGGTCTGCTGGAATTCAGGTCTGGAGATAAGGAAATACTGAGGGTCTGTGATTGTTCACTAATAAAGGAATAAAGGAAATGTTCAAGGCTTCTAAAGCCTGGGGCCTGCAGGTCTCACTAGGCTAATTTCCTAGGTGCAGAACTTGCCCTGCAAAGGTGAATATTTTACTTGTGAACTTAAGATTGCATAAATAAAATCAGGTCTCAAAATACAGGTCCTTGCTTCCAACAGTAAATCATTTTTTTAAAAGATAAAACAGAGGTCTCAGGAAACAGGGTTTCACTTTTGTCCCTTTTGTCCCTTTTGTTCAGACCACCTTCTAATTCACTAAGAGGTTGATCTAAGTTTCTCCCAGAGGGGTAACCTCACCTCAGTACTCCAAGCAAAGCTAAGGATCTCAGCAGAAAATAATTCATGTTTCTGAGGGTTAATTCTATACTAAGATAGTTGCATTATCTCCTTAAACTCAGCCCATAAATTCTGTGAGTACAATGCTCCCTGTATCTCTTTATCTCTTAAGATAAAGGCCATGGTTTAAGTACTTTGCACCCCCAGGATGAATCAATGGAGCTAAAATCTGAACATAGCTCTAATTCTAAAGTTTTTCTATCTTTCTATACTGACTCTTGTTTTATACTTAAAATGGGAGAAAAAAATATAATACATCCTGACCCAGCAAGCAAGCCATCCCTAATGTTTCACTAAATTATAAACACTTTCATAATCAGGAATCTTAAAAAATTGTTCAAGTTTTTTGGGGGTGGGGTTTTAAGACTGTATAGCTCAGGTTGGCCTCAAACTTGTAATTCTCCTGTTTCAGAATTCCAAGTGACTGGACTGCAGGCATGTGCAACCAGGCCAGGAGTATTTTTTTACTCATTTTGCAATACTATTTTGGCAAATATTTACTGATCTATATCAAGTGCTTGGGGATATAGGGACAAACAAGACATAACCCTGACAATTGAGAAAAATAGGTAATAAAGATATAACAAGTAAATACAGTAATTTAGCATGCTGAAAATAAGATGATAAGCCTGCCAGGTGTGGTGCTGAATGCCTTAAACACTAGCACTCAGGAAACAGAGGCAGGCAGATCACAATGAATTGGAAATCAGCCTGGTAGACATGGCAAGCAAGTCCAGGCTTCTCTGTGAGTTTGAGGCCAGCCTGGTCTACATAGTGAGTTCCAGGCCAGCCAGAGATAGATAATGAGTTCCCACCTTGAAAAAACTGAACGAAAAAAGAAAGGGGAAAAAAAGGAAAAAAACAATAGGAATTGAAGGTAATGAGAAAAGGCCTTCCTGAGGAGGGTAATACTTGAAGTGAGATCCACAAGAGAAGGTGGCAGGAGCTGAAGAAGGCTGGACAGGTAACACAGGCTCTTGGAGGGGCCACAGTACAAAAAACTTAACTCTACTGCAACAATATCACTGGTAGGTTAAAAAGAAGAGGCATGAGCTGGGCGTGGTAGCCCACTCCTTTAATTGAACACTCCAGAGGCAGAAACAGGCTGATCTCGTTTAGATTGAGGCTAGCCTGGTCTACATAGCAAGTTCAAGCACAGTCAGGACTACACAGAGAGAGACCGTGTCTTTAAAAAAGAAAAAAAAAGTAGAGGCCTACTATCTGTTCATAACGTAGAAAGATCACATCAGAAAACAAGCACGGTGGTGAACTACAAACCAGCAACAGGGAGGCTGAGACCAATGTGGGCGACACACTCAATATCAAACCAGCCAGGGTAGCTCAGACAGAAGATAATAAATGCTACAGACATACCTAGATGAAATCAATGAAACCTGCCTATCGAATCCATCTCCAGAAAGCATGCTTGCTCATTGTTTTCATTACAATGCATAAAAAAGCCTGTTATTACTACACATCGTAAGATTGAGGAACCAGTGAAAACATCTGGGGACTTGAGGTGTGTGTAGTCTAGTGGTAGTGACTGTCTGCACAGAACTCAGGAGGCCCTGGGTTAGATGCCTCATAAAATGACAGAAAGAAAACATCTCCTGAACGTCTATAGCACAGTCACTTAAAGTTAACTGAGGTCTAAATGACTAAGAACCGATGTCAAAAGAAAAGGGAGAAGCAAAAGTGCCATCAGGAAAATGGACAGGGATTGGGAATGCCCAGATACCTACCTCACAATTTTGCCTAAGCAAACTTAGCAACCAAACTCTGCCAAGATTTACACAAAAATAAGTGATAATGCAGGCCTAAAACTATTTGTGTCTTACTTTTCAGCACCCAGGTTCCGTAAGCCAGAAATCCATCAGGTGTAAATGCGAATGTCCACAAATTATTCTCAGCTATGTTAGAAAGTTAAATTCCACTCCAGCAGATTTTTTAAAAAAAAAATGCATTTAACTTTATTTACATTGTGTAGAATGTACTTTTGAAATGAAATATTGCTCTCCTACTCTTAGTACCAACATACCAACAAAGGAAATAAGCTCAGACACAAAACAGCAGCAGGAGCAGGAAAAATTCTGGTCTCATTGCTGACTAAGAAAAAAACAGCATTGTCACTTGTGATCCCACAAAGCAGAGATAGGAACCAACTTATTCTTGAAAATGGCATAAGCATAGAGTTTAAGGACCAGGGAGCAACAGCAGGAAATGAAGGCTGCTTCCTAACTGAAGACAGGGTGGAAGATGATCTCGTCACATCAGCACTGTCTACTACACTGATGGACCCAAAACATCAAACACTGCTCCAGAGTTAATGACAGACTCGAATCCTAAATACATTCTACTGAGTAACCTTTAGCAAAATCACATTTCTGAGCCCTAATTTCCTTAGTTATAAGTTAGATTATAAAGTACATTAAAAGGTTTAAGGATATGGCTGGCATGCGGCAGATACTTAACATGTGAATCTGTGAAGGTAATAGCATTATTTAATATTGCAGATTCTAATTTGGCAAGAAATAAATGAAGAAGAGATCTGATAATAGTCAACAGAGATTACCTAATCTGTCTTTTTCTTGAGTATCCTTCTCAGCACTGTATTTCAAAGAACTGTCCCATCAATAACTTTAAATACAAAAGCTTTCAAGTTTGGGGCCTTTAATTTTGTTCACAAACAAGTAAACTCAAAACTATTCCAGAAGCAAAGACAGCGGTGCAATAAGCAAACTGTTAAATGGGTGGCACGGGCAAAAGGCCAGAAGGGGGAGAGCAAACTATAACTCTAATAAATATGTATGGAACTGGGATTAGGGTTGCTTGGAATTTACTATATAGCCCAAACTTCAAACTTGTGGCAATCCTCCTGCCTCAGCCTCCAGAAAGGCGTGAGCCACCACGCCCAGTTTAACAATCTATAGTTTTAAAAGACCGCTTTTCTACACTAAAGCGGCGATGCGGGGAGAGCCCCACAGGTTGAAGGGAAGAAGAAACTATAACTGGGGGGGGGGGGGGACGTATATGCTAAAATAAAGAATACTGAGAAGCCTACACGCCCCATTTTGATTGCCTATGCAAACCAACTCGGTTCTCTAAAATGTAGTTCAGGTGGCTGGAAGTGGCCGGAGACAGTGTATGTTTCGGTAGCAACGGTGATGCCGACTACAGCTTCCCAGCGAGCCTGACTTTTCTGCTGCACACACACAGGTGAAGGGAAAACAGGTGGCCGCCTCCCAGCCCCGTCGGCGCTCAGCCCGCTTCACAGGCACCGCCGGCCAGGAGAAGGCCCCTTCCCCGATCGGCACAGCCCCAGGGTCGCGGCGACAGCAAACCCTGAACGGCCCCGCAGGTCCCGGGGAAGGGGGACAGCTCAGAGCTCCACGACCAGGAAACCCAGAAATCGCCAACACGCCAAGGCCTCGAAGGAACGAACGGACGCTACGATTTCCGTGAAGGCTCAGAAAAATCAACAGGACACCTTCCGAGGCTCGGGAGAGAAACTCGCGGACGCCCGTGGGTCTAGGCCCAACGGCCCAAGGTCACGCCAAAGGAGCCGCGGAAAAATTCCAAGCAATGAGCCCCCTGCAGACCAGGGCAACCCTGCCTAGGAATGGAGTCTGGGCTCGGGGGCACCCGCGCCCGAGCTGTAATGGGAACCCCAACTGAATGCAGCGGCTCCGCGGGCAAAGCCCCGAGGATCGGGGGCCGCACAGCCTCCATTTCGCCAGCATCCCCCTTCCCGGTGCCCCCACACTCACATCTCCGCAGCCACTTCATCCAATGGTAGACGATCGTGCTGTGGTGCTTCTTGTTCTCTATACACCAGGAAGACAGGCCCTGAATGGATTCCATGGTGTTGGTCACCGACTGGAATTTTCGATCCAACGAGGACTCCAGGGCCCCGGCGGACGAGGCCGACGAGGAGGAGGCCTTACTGCTGCCTCCGCCGCCGCCGGCCGCCATCTTCCCGGTTTGCACAAGCGCCGCTGGTCCTGTGGCGGCGGCGACGGCGGCGGGAGCGGGCAAAACAATCAGTGCGAGTGCGTGAGAGCCGTGGGAGGGAGGGAGGCCAGGGGGTGGGGGATGCTGCACGCGCCGGGCTCTCCGGGAGGCAGGACGACTAGCGGGGCACGCGGGCGGCCCCCACGCGCGCCGAGGCGGGGCTGCGGCGGCCCAGGGTTGTCACTAGGGTTCGGGGGTCGTGCTTGAACCGGCGGCCGGGACCATGCGACGCCCTGCCAAACGCCCGGCGGCCGAAGCCAACACGTTTAGCCGCACGGCCCTCAACTCTCAAGGCCCTTCCCTCATCCCGTCGGCCGGACTCCGGCGAGCCCGGGCGGCCTCGGCATCGGGAGCGCAACGCCGCCGGACCGTCCCTCTGGTGGCGGGACGCTGTCCTCTAAGCTCGCTGCCCCAGAGAAGGCCCACGGCGCCCGAGTCACTATTTTTTTTTTTTTTTTTTTTGCAACGCAATAGCAGCAGAGGACCAGCTAAAGCAACGCGCACGCGCGCGCTAGCCCCGCCCCTCCGCTTCCTCCTGGCCCTTGAGGCCCTGATGGCCCTGCGATCTGGCCAATCACGGGAGGCGTCGGGGAAGCGCGCGCAAGAGTCGCCCAGCCCTGAGCGCTGAGGAGGTGCGGCATTCCCTCGTGCGCCTGCGCGTTAGGTCTGCGCCGAGCGGGTTGGGAGGAAAACCTGGGGAAGGGAGATACGTAGCGCTCCCGCCCTGCCTTTCGCTTCCTAGCGGGGTTGCTCCCTTGGAGCCTTTAGCTCGCACAAGACTGGGAAATTTACACCGTCTTGTGGCCGCTGTTTCCGGAAGCCGCGGCTGCGTCCGCTAGCACCCCTAAATCGGGGATGTGCGGGTGACAAAATGGCTGGCGTCCATCGTACGGCGTGGTAGGCGGTGCGCATGCGCCTGTCCCGCTAGCCGTTCTCTACGCAGACTCCGGGACTAAACGGAGTTACACACCCGACTTGGGTGATATCATTCACAGCCGCTAGTCGACCGTCAGCACTCTAGAAAGAGGGAATAAGGAAATTAAACAAAAATTTCTCTGTAAAGTTCTCGAGGCGAGGAAAGAGTAATTGACAAGATGTGGCTTCTTTGGTCGATTATAATAATCTCACAATTCTGTAAAGCACTATAGTTTACAAGTCTTAAATATTGCGTGTATTAGCCTAGACTCAGATTAACAATTAAATATCATCTGCCTATGTTAATCTTTTGGGAATATTTGGGGGTTCGTGTATTCCTACTAAATAGGCCAATTTCATTTTAATTATGCCTCAATAGAAGAGAGGGGTTTTTTGTTTGTTGTTTTTTAATATTTATTTATTATATATAATATTCTCTCTGTATGCCTACAGGCCAGAATTACAGATGGCTGTGAGCCACCAGGTGGTTGCTGGGAATTGAACTCAGGACCTTTGGAAAAGCAGGCAATGCTCTTAACCTCTGAGCCATCTCTCTAGCCCCAGAAGAGAGGTTTTTGCGGCAAGGAACTGTTTCATCAAGTTCACATTTAGTATTCATTAATGTCGTTGTGCCAAGAACTGTTTTAGGATTGGGGAAATGATAGCAAAAACAAAATTCCTCCGAATTGACTTGATATTGTGAGGGCCAGCCATGATAATCTAAGTCTGGGCAGGTCACCCAAAGAAAGTTCTTCCTCCAACCCTTATCACATGGGACTCTGGCCATTGATGAAATTCAATGGAGGCTGGGGTCTCAAATGTTTACCCTGAGACAATGCCTAGATGAAATCACGGGACCCCCACCCAAGAACAGACCATCCACAGGAAATTCCTGGCGTTCCAACCACTGCACATAGAAACACCTACCAGCACAGTCACCAGGAAACCCTATACAAATGTCAGCCAATCAGGGGTCTTAAAACCTCAAAAAAAGCTCACCCCCACCTTTACTACTATAAAACCCTATTCTAACTGAGCTCGGGGCTCTCAGGTTATTCCAATAGGTTAGACATGCAGAGAGACCGAGTTTGCAAACTTGATTAAAATAAAGGCTCTTTGCTTTTACATATGGGACTCTTGGTTTCCTTGTGGGCTTGAGGGGATTGTGAATTTGGGCATAACAATATCAGCATCAAATCACGAGTATATTAGGGAGTAAGGAGTCATAAAAAGGCATAGAATAGGATTAAGGGGGAAAGACTGAGTATATGAATAAAAATGGTGTGAACCAGTTTTTAAAAGAAATACTTGAAGCCAGGAGGCGGTGGCCTGCACCTTTAATCCCACCAGAGGCAGAGGCAGGTGGATTTCTGTGAGTTCGAGGCCAGCCTGGTCTACAGAGTGAGTTCCAGGACAGCCAAGGCTACATAGACAAACCTTGTCTAGAGAAACCAAAAATAAATGAATAAATAAATAAAATATCTTTAAGCAAATGTCTACTAGATATAACTTACCTTGCTGTCCATCTTGCATTGTTACAATAAAGGGCTGGCCAATGCCTCCAGTAAGGAGTGAGGTCTGGATATTACCCAGAGGCCCTCCATCAGTCACTATGGTGATGACCCTCTGGCCGCCACTCCCCACCACTTGCTGGATTGATGAGTCAAGTGAATTTCCTTCTTCGATTTCCTCTAAATTAGCTAGGGATAACAAAAGTGAATTTAAAATTTATATATATATATATATATATATATATGTGTGTGTGTGTATATATATATATATACATATACATACATATATGAATACAAGTTTCATCATCCTCTTTTTGGAAAATAAAATTTTTGGTTGACTTTTTTTTTTTTTTTTTGAAATAGGGTCTTCTGTACCCAAGCAACTCAGCCAGTCTCAGCCTTCTAAGTCCAGGACGACAGGACTGAGCACCAATAATCTTCCAGAAAAAGCTTTAATGAGTAACAAGTCAGGAGAGAAGAACACAGGGACTTTGCTAGAACAGTATTTTCTAAAAACGTCCTTACCTAGATGTTAGCAGTGTTCAATAAAGAGGTCTTTGGTGCTGTTGGCAGCGTACACTGCAATCACAGCACTGAGGATCCTGAGGCAGGAGAACTGCCTTGACTTCCAGGCCAGCTTGGGCTATGTGGTGAGATTCCTTCTCAAGAAACAGAAAAACAAAAAAACAAAAACAAACAAAGATCCAACTCCCAAATAAAAAGAGATCGGTGCTACGAATAAATACATTTTGAAACGCTAGTTCGTATGCACTTAAACTTTCCAGGTGTGACAGGGCATGATAAATCCTATTTGGGAGACAAAGGCAGGAGGATGTCAAGTTCCAAGCTGCATATAGAGTCTGAGGCCAGCCTGGGCTACGTGAGACCCCTTGTCGAAGAAAACCAAGCTATATATTTACTTTTTAGGGTAGTGGGGTAGAGGACAGGGTCTCATTGTGTAGTCCTGCCTTACTTGGAACTGTGTAAACCTGACTGGCTTCAAAGAGATACACCAGACTCTGCCTCCTGAGTAATGGAATTTACCAAGAGCTTCAGCGTGAATGGCTGTTTATGGTCTTACCTTTCCAGTTTTCTTAGATAAGTTAACAGTTTCAGAACAAGATTGTTGAATCCCACCAGCCATTGAGGCTAAATCTTCGGGATGGACATGCTGAAGGCCAGCCTTGGTGGTAAAATAGGGACTCAAGAGTAGTGAAAACAGAGGCCCGGAAGATGGCTCCGAGGTTAGGAACACTGGCTGCTGCTCTTCCAGAGGTCCAGAGTTTAAATCTCAACTAGTATCATGGGGGCATATGATGCTCTTCTTTAGTAAGAGACATGTAAACTAGATTAGGGACTTTAGGATGCGTAAATACTTAGTATAAATATTGTGGGGCGGTGGTGGCACATACCTTTAATCCCCCCACTTGGGAGGCAGAGATAGTCAAATCTTTGAGTTCAAGGTCTACAGAGTGAGCTCCAGGACAGGACAGGCTTCAAAAATACAGAGGAAACCTTATCTCAAAAAACCAAGATAAATAAATATGTCTTTGTATGGCTGTTAGGGGTTCAGTTCATCAGAGCCTGGACCTTCCCTCTGCCATATAGGCCTTAAAATTCCATCTTGGAGTGCTTTCACACCCTGACACCTTGTTCTCCTCCCACCCTCCTGCCAACTCCACACATCCTCTTTCAGACCTGAACCTCTCCATTTCCCCCCTAAGCAGGTCTTTGGCGGAAATCACTGGTGTATGTGTGTGGGTGAGGGGTTTGTGCATGTCCCAGTCCACCTGTGGAAGTCAGAGGACAACTTGCAGTTTTTCTCTTTGTTTTTTTTTTTTTTTTTTTTTTTTTTTTTTAAAGATTTATTTATTTATTATGTACACAGTGTTTAGCCTCCATGTATGCCTGCAGGCCAGAAGAGGGCGCCAGATCTCATTATAGATGACTGTGAACCACCATGTGGGTTGCTGGGAATTGAACTCAGGACCTCTGGAAGAGCAGTCAGTGCTCTTAACCTCTGAGCCATCTCTCCAGCCCCCAGTTTTTCTCTTTGTGGGGGCTAAACACATTATTGATTAACTCCAAGTTACCAATAATGTATTGGTTTTGCATTAAGAGATCAAAGCACTTCTCGCTTGGGGTCATCTAACCAAGAGTAAGTCCAGATTTGAATCCTCTACTTCATGTTTCCTGTATCTTCCATCCTGTCTGCCTGTTGAGTGAGTCTGAATCTGTGCCTGCCTGAAGGCTGTTTTGTCACTCTGACTCTTGGCTTTGCTGTCTTTACTGAACAGCTTGAAAAGTGTCACATGGGGAAGGACTATGGGGTACTTATCAGAAACCTTTAACAGAGTTTAACAAGATGTCATTGACTGCAAAGACCCCAGCTGACCCAGAAAACATTACGATAAACATCACTGTTTTACCATTCAATGTCCAAATGTGTTACATTTATGATGGACGTTCATTTTAGAAGATTGCTTTCAGCCTCCATTTTTTTAAATATTTATTTATTATTATGTATACAATATTCTGTCTGTGTATGTCTGCAGGCCAGAAGACGGCACCAGACCTCATTACAGATGGTTGTGAGCCACCATGTGGTTGCTGGGAATTGAACTCAGGACCTTTGGAAGAGCAGGCAATGCTTTTAACCACTGAGCCATCTCTCCAGCCCCCCCCCTTTTTTTTTTTTTTTTTTGGTTTTTTGAGACAGGGTTTCTCTGTGGTTTTGGAGCCTGTCCTGGAACTAGCTCTTGTAGACCAGGCTGGTCTCGAACTCACAGAGATCCGCCTGCCTCTGCCTCCCGAGTGCTGGGATTAAAGGCTAAAGGCGTGCGCCACCACTGCCCAGCTCAGCCTCCATTTTTGCTGCTTTCAGCAACTGATATACATGCACTATGGATGGTGACTTGGAAGAGCGAGCACCCAATTTGAGCTTCCAGCTGTATATTGGCTTAGGATGTAAAAGCTGATCATGGGAAAAACCTAAGACAAGTAAGGTTGTGTGTTA